ATGGCAGGGCTGGGAGGGGCCTGAGAACAGGGCATGGCAGGGCTGGGAGGGGCCTGAGAACAGCCCATGGCAGGGCTGGGAGGGGCCTGAGAACAGCCCATGGCAGGGTTGGGAGGAGCCTGAGAACAGGGGATGTCAGAGCCAGAGGGGGGCCTTAGGACACATACCATCACACCCACCATCTTCCACTCAGACACTGCTGTTCTAAGGGGCAGGTTTGATCATGTCCCAAACACCACCCCCTTTCCCCCATTCAAGAAACCCCAGGGCCTCTCTAGGACCTCCAGGATCAAAGGTCTTGGAAAGCCCTTCCTCCCCTGGCCTCCCCACCCCCCACCTCCAAGGTCCAGCCTCCTGGCTGTTGCCTGTGCAGTTTCACCAGGAGTCGCCCTCCTATCCCCAATTTGGCCTGCCTGGCTTCCTTCAAGACTGGGCTGAAATCCCACCTTCTGCCCAGAAGCCTCCCAATCCCGCCAAGGCTGAAGCCTTCTCTGGCTGGCTGTCTACACTCGTTGGGTGCAGCTGTTTGTGTGCTGCATCTGCTAGCAGAGGCCAGGGGCTGGCTTTGCCTTTCTCTGTGCATCCATCCCTAGGGCATAGGCCAGTGCCTGGCACACAGTTGGTACTCAATAAGTGCCTTTTGACTTAGAACAGGAAAGGCCAGAACTGGGAAGGCCCCTGGAGACCACGTCACTTCTACAGGGCTGGTTTAGGACAGTCAGGCAGAGGCGGGAGGTGGGGCCCGCGCTCCTCCTCCTCCCACTGGGCACTCACGGGTTCCAGTGCTCTTTGGAGACTCGGTAGAGGGTCCCGTACACAGTGGGCAGCACGGTGTGGCAATTGTCCTCAATGAGGCTCAGGATGTACTCATTGTTCCAGAAATACAGAGCCCGCTCTGAAACCTGCAGGAACGGGACAGCGGGTGAGCCCCTGGGGCCTGGGGAGGAGCCTTCGGTCAAAACGCAGCCCAGGGGCCCCCGCCCTGATTTCCTCCCGGTCTCAGGGCCCGGCACAGTTGGCTCTCTCTGCTGGCCATCATGATCACCACTGGCAGGGCTGAACCATCCCCAGGTTCTAGACCTGGGCTGGAAGGGCTCTCATCTTACACAGGAGGAAACTGAGGCCTTCAGGGGCAAGGGACTCGCCCACAATCACCGCAGGAGTCACTGAAGGAACCTCCACGGCCAAAGCCAGTCCTCTCCCTACCATACCGAGGTGCCGTTGTTAGTGCTGGAAGGGAACTTGGACCTCATTAGTCCAGCTCTCCGAATTTACAGATTTGAAGACTGAGGCCCAGAGACAGTAAGGGGAGCCGGGGCCTCCTGTCCCCCGGATCAGGGGGCCCAGGGCTAAGGGGAAACTACACAGGGTGATGGGCTTAGAAATTTACAGGCCAGCCGGCCCAACGTTTTACAGGTGAGGAAACTGAGGCCCAAAGATGTCAAGTGACTTTGTCCAAGGGCACACAGGTGGTGCCTCTTCTTGGACACCTTCTTTCTGGGCCTCAGTTTCCCCACCTGTAAAACAAGGGAGCTTGACTCAGTGACCTCTAAGGCCCCTCCCTGTGTTAAATCCCAGGACCCTAAGACACGCACAGATTCCCCCCATGTGAAGCCCGTCCAGGCCCGAATTTATAAGCCCATGTGTCAGTCTGTCTGTCTGCCCGTCTGTCAGCCCTGCCTCTCCTCTGTACCTGGAAATGGGGGCTGGAGACACATCGAGCCACCTGTTTGAAGAGAGGTTCTTGAATCTTAACAAACTGGGAGGGCTCAATGACATCCAGAATCTCCTCCATCTCCCCCAGGAACATCACCTGACAGGTGGGGGGCATCAGTCACTCCCTTGTTGGAGATGCCACAGCCCCCCTCCCCTCCCCAGTCCCTCCAGCAGCCCCCCTCCCCTCC